GCTGTAATTCTATTCGTCATAGTTTACCTGTGGAGTCTAACAGGAAGTGTTTGCTTGGATTGTGTCGTTCGTTATGGGTGTTTTTCGTATTTTGGGTCTTGTCAAGCGCCTTGTAAAGGATATTTTCGGTTTTGTGGTGGAATTTACGTTGTTTTAGAGTAAAGTGTTGTGATATCTTGTTTGCAGTGTTTCCTTCTAATAACAGTACGGTGGCTATGTCTAAAATATAAAGTAAGGTTCATCTAACTCATTTCTGGCGTTTTATTAATGGAATTTAGTCTTCTTACCCTGTTTTGTACATGTTTGGCTGATAAACTTTGTTTACTATTGAAGCCATGACAGCTGGACAAGTAGCCAACCGCCCGGCTCAAAAATTACCACAATGTCAATGTTGCCAACGTAATTTCTTACAGGGATTTTGGGGAGTTTGTCGTTTGACGCGAAAATTCAAAGTTTTTATGGGCCTAAGTGGGTGATTGATTGGTTAATTAAAATATTTCCGGAATTATCCCGGAAGAGGTGCTGTGGCCATGTTTCGTTTTGGTCTGTCGTGCTAATTGGACGTGTGTGCAAGGTTTTCTGATATATTGGTAGTTATTTCAACCATCCGCTGATTAAAGTGGGATTATTAATCAGAAGTTACCTTTTATAAATTGTGTTGTGGCCATTGAGTGGAATATTGGTGATATTTTTGGGTCTGCAACACTTACGGTATTTACCGGATTATAAGCACACACTTGAAACTGTCTTTGGAACCGCACACAACAGCGTTGAAGGGGCCGTAAATCTGAATTGTTCCCATAACTTGGGTTTGTTCCTTCAACTAGGCGTAAGTAGCTTTTATGATGTTAATTTTTACCAGATGAGTAATGCGCCATCGTTATTTTAGGGTTTTTCCTGGTTGGTTCTCTGCTTCCTTATTTAGACACTTTACGTGGTGTAATTTTGTCGTTAAGTGTACCTGTTGAGAGATTGAATTATTTCGAATTACTGGATGTGACGTTAACCCTGATCGTGACCGAAACCTTCCCGCACCGAGTGACAAATCTATCCCGAATGGATAGTAAACCCTGATTGGACATTAACCCCGGATTGGACACTAAACCCTGATTGGACATTCAAGGATAACTCGACCCCTATCCTTGGTTTGTGGAACAAGCTAAGTCTTTGCTAATTTATATTATTTTTACAATTTATGAACTTGCGTTGCAAGATATTGTTATTTCTTTGTTTTACCCTCACTGGGCGTTAATCACATTGCATATTAATTCAAATAGAACTGACAATATCTTGAGACACCCCTTCAGGGAAGTATTTAAAGCCGTTATAGGGCTAGGGACCTTTTGTCCAAGTTTAGTGAATTGTTTCGGTACTTCATATCAATTCAAATAGACACCCCTTTCAGGGAAGAATTTAAAGCCATTATAGGGCTAGGGACCTTTTGGTCCAATTTTAGTCAATTATCCATATATATATATATATATATTGTGCGCCAAGGTGATCACTGCGGTTACAGTCTTATCGGAGTATATGTTATATGTTATAAGTTATATGTATTGAGGTAAATAACGTACCCTACTAGGTATTAAGAATTGAAATATTAATTTACTAATTTTAAATTATCCATGTGTTGTTTTGTATTGATGTAAATTAAATTAGATTGGGACTGATTTCGCTTTTCCGTTCAAACCGTGACTTTATACCTCTTTCAGACAGTGGCGCACTTATAGTGATTCGTTTACCTCAATTTCCCCGGTAATTTTAGTATTTCGTTACCTGGGCTTTTACTATTGTTTGAAAATACTTGGCGCCCTTTCTAGGTTTTTATTTATATTATTTTTTGGTTATTTAGAACCCATTCCCACCTTCACTGGGACTTAGCCGCGAGCTCAAAGCCTGTCGGGTGACAGTCGCTATAAGTATTACCACCCCTAAATAGGGGGTGACACGGCACATATTCTAAATGACAACAAATATAAAACGAAGTTTAAAATAAGCAACTGCCTTATTTTTCTTGTCGTCTCTAGATTGTTTTTCTAAGGTATGCTACAGATGTCAAAAATAATAATTAACCAAAGACCATTAAGCCTTTAAAAGTTTTATATCTTTTAGATGTATCATTAAGTGGCATCTATAAATGCTTTGGCAATACATGTATAAAACTAGTGAAAATCCTTAACATTTAAGAGACCTATCATTCTCATTGTCTAATACACGTCGAACAAGAGCTTCTACTTAAGTTTAAACTGTATTATACATATTTTAGATGTCTTTGCAAAATCATTATTATCGTTATTTAGATTACTTATAGCAGATTTAGACATCTATTAGATTATCTTGTGTTTCCTGGGTTATTACTATAGCGCGAAAGTTTCCAGCGATTACATAAAAATGATTATATTGTGATATTATAGTTATTTTTTGCACCTGTATAAAGATAAGTGTTTACTTTTTTAACTCTGATTTTTGTTAACATTTTGACGTCATCGCTGGAAAAGTTTCGCGATATAGTTATTACTATATCGCGGAACTTTTCCAACACTTACTGTTGTATTTAGTAACTTTAACCCACTTTACTGTATCCCTTAATTTCAGTTTGAAAACCAGTGATGGTTTTTTCATCGGATACTTCGCACACTCGTTAAATAGGTGAGGAATCTGAATAACAACAATCACAGATTTCTGGTAATATATTATAAAGTAGTTACGAACACGTTACGAATTAGAATAAAGTAAGCAGAAACAAGTTTCAGACGCTGAAGTCAGTTGAACTTGTTGACAATAATTGTCAGTGGAAAATGTTTTGATTGACTGCCTGAAATAACGTGTACTTTTTCAACGAAATAATTTGTTAAACATTAACAAAATAATATGTTACCTTTAAAATTAACAAAATGCGTACAAAATTGCATTGCATTGCAGCACACAAAAAATTGAAACGAAGTTACATTTAGTGTTAAATGTACTACAATACCGAAAGCTAGCGCGCAAAATTTAAAACAGCAAATTTTCAAACTTAATCCGGCTCGAAGGACCAATAATGTTAGAACTAATACAAAGCGGACTGGATAACTGTGAAAAAAAGGAAGTCTATGTATTTAGGATTTTTGTTGTTGTTAATCCTTGTGTTGATGTGTACGATGTACGTACAGTGTACATAGACTGGGAAGAAGTTTGTGTAGAAATTCCACCTTTACGAATGGATCACATACGAAATTTGTATGCCCACCATACGACGTCTATTCTACTTACTTACTAAATTACTTATTCGTACAATCCTTATATCCTGTTGACTTGATCGTCTGCATATAAAAAAATCTGCTAATGGCTCATGGTAGTGTTAAACAACACTCTTGAACTTTGTTAGCTGAAAAGTTAATGTTGAAGCAAGAAATACCTAAAAAGAAATAAAACAAACAAACTCAAACCAATTGATTCAAGAGTTCAAAGATTAATTTTATAAGAAGTTTGGAGGGATAGACAATTCCCTAAACTTTGCAAATAGTTTAATTAAGGAAGTTAGCACTAAACTGAACTCAATAGCTAAAGAAAATGAACCTGTTTTATAAATATAAAAATAATAATAATAAATCTACCTGATACAAATAAAATGCAGGCTTCATAAAAATAGGCTGGGTTGTTTTCAGGAGGCCACGCCACAAGGTACTTTTTGTTAAATTTTAATTTAATTTGATATTGGAGGTTTATTTTTAAAATGTTTTGGTTTTACAATTTAAAAGGAATTATCGTTCAAAAAGTTCATGTAAAATAACATCTAAAACAGTGAAAACGAAACGAAACGAAACGAAATTTTATTACGCCTATATATACACTACGCGTCAAATTTAACGCACCACTAAAAATTTGCTACAATTTCAATGTTCATTTTCTCGCGAACCGTCAAAATAAATATAATATCTCTAACAAAATATAGAATTTAAAGCATAAATATAACATATAAAATATATCAAAACAAATACAATCCAACAAAACATATAAAATATAACGAAAAATATAAAATTCAACAAAACATATAATACACCTGTAACAAAACATATAATACACCTGTAACAAAACAAATAAAATCAAACAAAACATATAAAACATAACGAAAAATATAAAATTCAACAAAACATATAATACACCTGTAACAAAACATATAAAATCAAACAAAATATATAAAATATATATACAACGAAACAAATAAAATCCAAAAAGACATAGAAAATCACACAAAACATATAAAAGCCTACAAAATATTAAAACTCTGGTTCCTCACTTGACCGTTTGAGGGCGCTCGACGAAGTTTCAAGAAGACTATTAGTGGGAGATTTTTCGCCAATGCGGTAAGTTTTTAAGGTTTTCTTTACATCCTTTTTAGTTTTTAATTTTAATTTATAGCTTTAATTAAAAAACGATGGAGTTGAATCTGCCAAGAATGGATGAAGTTACCACATTCTTTAGGGATTTGATGCATGACTTCGCTGAAGGGGTTCTTCACGACACATCAAAGAGACGTAGTAGAATGCTCTGCTAAATTAGAGGACCATTGTCGTGTGCTGGGGGTGTTGATAAATCGCATAGAGAATGTTAATTTACAAAACCTGCTTATAAGTATATATAATTTAACTTTTAACTTATTGTTGAGATTGGAATCGATCATTGATGGTACGTATTCGATTAAAACTTGTAACAATTTTATGAAGGTAGTAGGTAGGACCTACCTGTTAGGTACTTAATAAAAGTGGACACAATCGACAGATCGACCTAACACATATGTATATTATCCTTTGGAGATGAGAAGTGGAACTGCTGGCAGACCCTGCAAGGACATTACCGCGGAGCAAATAGTCCATACAAAAGCGTTTTGCAATAATTGGACTGAGGTTGCTGATATATTGAAGGTATCTAGAAGCACTTGACTAAGAGACAGAAAAAAAATTAACATCAACTACAATATTATTGACGATGATGAGTTTAGAACTGTTATCCAAGAAATTATGACGCAAACACCAAATGCGGGGGAAGTTTATATTATGGGCAGTCTAAAGAGTAGAAACCTGGACATTCCGAGATGGCGTGTACGCCAACAAATAAATATTTTGGACCCAGTCGGAAGAGCATTAACAAGACGGACGGCAATTAAAAGAAGAATCTACAAAGTAAAAGGTGCCAACTACTTATGGTAAATATTATTTCATAGTGAGAATTTTATATTAGGAAGCTTTCACAATGTTAAAATTTCAGGCACATAGATTCGAATCATAAATTAGTCAATTTTCGACTGGTTTATCATGGGTGTATTGATGGTTACAGTAGAGCAATAATTTATATAGAATGCCTTACTAACAACAGAGGCCAGAGTGTTCTGTCACTTTTTCAAAACGGTGTAAGGGAATATGGTATACCCAGTCGAGTTCGAGGAGACATGGGCACCGAAAATATTGCAACTGCAACCTACATGATTGAACAGAGAGGATTAAATAGAGGCAGTTTTTTTGTAGGAAGATCGGTCCATAATCAAAGAATAGAACGATTATGGTCAGAAGTAAACAGGGTGGTGACAAAGCATTTCAAACAACTATTTTGCTTTATGGAAGATGAAAACATTTTAGACGAAAACGACGAAATTGATCTTTTTTGTTTATGTTATATTTATTTGCCGCAAATTAAAAAAAGCTTATGTGAATTTAAACAACAATGTAACTATCATCGGCTATCTACTATGAATTCTAGATCTCCGTTACACCTGTGGCGACCGTAACCAAGAGAGAATAATAAATAAAATAGTTTTGACAAGAACTGTAAAATATAATTTAATAAAATCAATTTATTACAAAGTGAATTATATTGTGTTATTCGGTAAATCTACCGACCCACAGTGGTGACCCCGATAAGAGCAATAGTGCCCTGACTGTTTTTGTGCCCAAGTTGACTTTTGTCCGTCGCGTTTCGCGCATCGTGTTCGATTGGTGATTGCGTGATGGAGGCTTTACAAGAGCAACTTCAACAACTTCAAAAACAAAATGAAGCCCTTCTGTTGCAACTTCAGCAGCAGCAACAACAGGAATTAAGTCAGCAAGACGAAGAAAAAAAACAGGTTTGTCAAACAACTGAACCACCTTCCTCAGAAGTTCATCGCGTTACTGTAAAGCTTCCGCGCTTCTGGAAGGACAAGCCGACCCTCTGGTTTGCTCAGGTCGAAGCACAATTCATGATCGCCCATATCACCCAGGAAATAACCAAATATTCTTACGTGATTTCACACCTGGACGAAAGGTACGCAAATGAGGTTGAAGATTTAATCACCAATCCACCTGCTAACACGCCATATACCATATTAAAGACAGAAATTATTCGCCGACTGTCAGTGTCAGAAGAGCGTCGTGTGCGCCAGCTTTTAATGGAAGAGGAGCTTGGCGATCGTACCTCTTCCCAGTTTCTCCGTCATCTGCGATCCTTGGTAGGTCTTCCTGTCCACGTCCAGGGGATTCTTCAGACTCAAAATGGACAAACCGGCCTCAGCACCGACACACTTGCTATCACAGCGGACAAGATTATAGAGGTACAGCCTAATACCCCACTACTCGCATCCTCCACCTCTGGTGCGGTCCATGCCATTTCTACTCCGCCTGCAACCGTATCCGACCCATTTTCCCAGCGGTTGGACGAACTTTTGAGTCAGATTTCTGCAATGCAGATCGAGATAAAATCAATCAACCGTCACTCTCGGTCACGAAACCACACTTCCTCTGGTGATCGTCGCAACCGTTCTTCGTCTGCCAATTCCACATCCAGAACCGTCTGTTGGTATCACCGACGTTTCGGCAACCAAGCCACCAAGTGTATCCAACCCTGTTCGTTCATTTCAACAAACTCCAACGGCAGTCAGTGACGGCGGCAGCCGGCTGCTCTACCGGAGGACGCCGCCTCCTTGTTTTAGACCGTACGACAAAACATACATTTTTATTAGACACAGGCTCCGACATTTGTTGTTTTCCTCGGACATTTCTCGCCGATCGTCGATGCCGTGTCAGCTACGAACTGCGTGCTGCCAACAACTCCATCATCCATACCTATGGCGTTTTAACACTAAATTTAAATTTTGGACTTCGACGTGCCTTTGTTTGGAATTTTGTCATCGCCGACGTGAGTGTTCCTCTCCTTGGATCCGATTTTCTGGCGCATTTCGGACTTCTACCTGACTGCCGCAATAAACGCCTCATCGACAGCGTCACTGGCATCTCCACTCCTTGCCAGTCAGTCAGCATTCCCCAAGTCAGCGTCAAGGCCATTATTCCCGAGTCGCCTGGCAATTCCATCCTGTCAGAGTTTCCTGCGCTCATTCGCCCTGCTGGAACGTTCCGAGAGATCCGCCATTCCACGTTGCACTATATTAAAACGACACCTGGACCACCTGTTTCTTCCCGCCCTCGACGCCTTGCCCCTGATCGCCTAGTATTGGCTAAAGCTGAATTCGATGCCATGCTCCGTGAAGGAACGGCCCGCCGCTCAGATGGACCCTGGTCTTCTCCCCTGCACATGGTTCCAAAGAAACCAGACGGTTGGAGATCCTGTGGCGACTACCGTGGCCTCAACGCCAGAACCGTACCAGACAGATATCCAGTGCGACATATCCATGATTTCACATATCGACTTCGTGGATGCACCACCTATTCCATCATTGACCTCGTCAAGGCCTACACCCAGATTCCCGTCAACGTTGAGGACATTCCGAAAACAGCCATTACAACACCTTTTGGCCTGTTTGAGTTTCCATTTATGTCGTTTGGGCTACGAAACGCCGGACAGACATTCCAACGCTTTATAGATGAAGTTGTCTTTGGACTGGAATTCTGCTCTCCCTACATAGACGATATTCTGGTTTTCTCACGAGATGCTGACGAACATGAAAATCATCTTGGTATCCTAGTCAACGTGAAGTAAAGTGTACTGAATAAACCAGCAGTGAAGTTTCTTGGATATGAAGTCTCCTCTGCAGGTACCAGGCCTCTTCCAGACAGAATTGACGCCCTCCGTAACTTCCCTCGCCCATCCGCAGCAAAAGGTCTGCGTCGTTTTCTGGGCATGATAAATTTTTATCGCCGGTTCATACCTTCTGCGGCAAAGCATCAGGCGCCTCTCCACACCGCCCTGTCCAAACTTCGAGGCAACCAGCTTGTGAACTGGACACCGGACCTGGACTGCCTGCAAAGACAACCTGGTAAAAGCTACGCTTCTGACGCACCCAGATCACAACGCCCAGCTTGCCCTTTTCTGTGACGCCTCCAGTACATCCATTGGTGCCGCTCTTCAGCAGCGTGTTGACGACTCCTGGCAACCACTGGCATTCTTTTCTCAGAAGCTTACCCCACGACAATCAGATTGGCCAGCTTATTATCGAGAACTTCTAGCCGTCCACGCAGCTGTCCGCCATTTTCGCCATATCCTCGAGGCACAGCATTGCACGATCTACACAGATCACAAGCCTTTGACCTACGCAATGGATCAACGTCGCGATAAATTACCTCCAGTGCAGCAGAATCAACTATCTTACATTGCACAGTTTACGACTGACATTCAACACGTTGATGGATCCGCCAACATCGTCGCTGACGCCTTTTCTCGTGTCGACGCACTAACCAGTGCACCTGCTGTAGAACTCCATACGATTGCACGTCATCAAGAAGGTGACACAGAGCTACAAAAACTGCTTACCAGTGACACGGCTCTCCAACTTCAGCTTGTTAACGTGCCTGGATCCAATTTCCAACTTTACTGCGATACAACTACGCCGTTGCAACGACCCTACATCCCTGCATCGCTACGGCGCCCAGTGTTTGAATCTCTGCACAACCTCAGCCATCCTGGAGCCAGAACATCGGCAAAACTTGTCTCCCAGCGCTTTGTTTGGCCACGTGTACAGCAGGACTGCCGTACCTGGGCTCGTGCTTGCCAACACTGTATAACCAACTTGGGGCTGGCTAAATGCTCCGGCAGCTCACTCGTCTGGAGGCAAAGGTCAATGGTTCGTTGATTTCTCATACTTACACTTTGGGTAGGCGCCACCGTGAATGACAGAGTAAATTAACTAATGTTCACGGTCATTAAGTTAAACTCAATATTTTGTTACTCACTCATATATTTTATCAATAAAATTTTATTCTATATGTTATATAGTTTAGGTTTCATACCCATAGCTATGGTTTACACAATGATCAAGTTAAAAAAAATAGTGATATGTTTAAAATTTAAATAAATTATACAATGACGGAAACTATCAATAAAGTTTCATAACTTACTCCTACGCTTATTGTTAAATGTTCATAATATGTTTAATGACAAAAATAAAGATAAAGTTCAATAAAAAACCTGTGGTCCATTCGTGACTGAATGTACTCTAGTCCTGGTGTAATCGAAGTGCGCCTGGGCTCTTCTACTTTGGACACCCCAACTCGGAAACTTTCATGCCAACGTTTGACTCCGGATGGACAAGGGCCATGAAGGCAGAAACCAAATGTATGTTGTTGTAAAAAACCAGCGACTAGATGCATTCAATAAATGGTACCATTATAAATCCATAAAACCCCCAGAAGAAACCCTATTCAAAATTAAAACCAAATAAATACCCTAGTAAATAGATTAACCAAATTACTTACGGAAATTTCCGGTTTCTTCTATAAAAAAAATACAAAGCTTCACAAAATACGGCCTTCGACGGTCGATGAATTTACCAGCGTTTCAATCACTTGAGGATCTACCATCCTAATTAGAAGGATGACTTAGAAAATTAAAGATAATGTTTTTTAACCTCAACATACCTGCACGTGCCTTGCTCCGCACAAAAAAACCCAGTGTGAACGGCTTTTCAGCAATTAATACTCGCCGATATAAAGGACTGCCGAGCAACACACAACCATTTCAAAGCACAGCAATAATACATAATAGTCACCTTCTACAAGAGATACAGATCCTCAACGTGAGCACAGATTCTACAACGTGAGCCGCCAATCGTTCTCGTCGACTGAAGCCAACCAAGACGCTTTCAAGTCGCGCATACTCCGTGCAAATTCATATTTGTAAAATTTGAAAATTAGAAATTGTTGATATGCAACCAAGATTACCACGAAGTACTGCTAGGCGTATTACCAAATGTCAACAATACAAATGAAGAAAATTATCGTTCAAACTGCAACGAACCGAAAACAATTACTATAAGTGAGTAACATTAATAAAAAAACACGGCACAAATAAGCTAAAAACTACTTATCCTATAAATATAATCTAAACCCCTTTCTTATATAGTAACCTAACCTATAACCATTTTAGAAGAACGAAATTACATTGACAAGTCACACACACGAAATCAACTTAAAGAATCTACAAATCTACAGATCTGACCCAAATAAATCAACAGGCACTAAAAGGTAAAATACCCCCTAGACCTGCACAAACTAAACATAATTTAACAAGGAATAAACTAACCGAGTCTGCTCTTTTAGCTAAACACCAACCCAAAGTCGGTGACCAAAAGACACATAAAAATAAAGAAAACTAAATATAACAGTGACCAGAAGACACTTACAAGAAATACGAAACTAATAAACATACACATTCTACATGAACGATATATGCAATATACAGTATGAACGAATGTGTGAGCAATAAACAAAATAATTCCTCATGTGTGCCTAACTTATCTTTTCTATGCTAAAACATGTAGCGTTACTATTTGTAACGTTACATATACCCCCCTTCTTAAAAAAATGAAAATTTCTTTATGACCAAAAAAATAAAAATTATAGTAATTTACCACGGTTATAGACTAAAAAATATAAGTTATGCTAAAAAATACATTCAAAACAAAGATGGATTACTAAACACGCTTGAGAGTTGGCTTTTAAGGTTGTCGCTAACAAAGTGTATCTAAAATAAGTTACCAAAGACAGTGTAATTCAGTTGCGCAAGGCTAACAAACTGTGACGCAAGTCCGCATGACCAGCAGAGAGCGCAGTACCGCAGCGACTACTTCAGCCAATGCAGAGTTTTCCGCCGCGGGTATCAGAGACCCATCGCTTTCTGATGTTAATGAACGCGCCGCCGGTGTACTCTGATAAACCACGCGCCCCCCACGACAAAATACCCGCACCGGAAGAAGCACTCACAGCGTCACAACGCACCCACCAATCAGTATCCAGGCCGCATTGCCATAAAAATAAAATCATTAATAAATCAAAAATCAGTAATTAAAAAGGTTCGCAAATTTATCCTTGAAGAGGAAAGGACCCTGATTATGACCCTAATAGGTTAAGACCCTATCAAACTAACGTTAGCTATTTAAGCCACAACAAAAAATTTTCTGAGGGCTCCCGGTAGCGATATTGAACATCACGCCAGTCCCTCCCATTCGCCGAAGCATGTTTCAAAAACCGAAATGTTAGTGTATTGTACCGCCTTGGTACAATACAGCTAAATTGTTAAATAAATATATTGGTGTATTGTATCGCTCTGATACAATACAACCATAAGACACACTAGGTGCTTATTCTGATTTGGTACAATACCGCTAAATTGTTAAATAAATATATTGGTATATCGTATCGCTCTGATACAATACAACCATAAGACACACTAGGTGCTTACACTGTTTTGGTACAATACAGGTAAATTGTTAAATAAATATATTGGTGTATGGTATCGCTCTGATACAATACAACCATAAGATACACTGTTTTGGAGTTTATTTCGATGTTGTCCCGAACTCACGCGGTTAAAATGGTCACAGGCTGTACGGCTGACCGAGTGTGCCGTAGCAAGTGTTACCCGAGAAGTAACACTGGCCTGACATGGTTACATTTTGAAATTGACCTAATACGCCAAATTTCTTAACTCTATGATACAATGACTAATTACAGAATATTTACATTAAATTTACAAAAATTGAGCCAACTCATTGAGTGCTCTAATATACAAAAATAAGAACAGTACTTTGTTTTATAGGTAGAGGCTTGTAATTTACGCATACAAAACGTCTAAATAATAAGAGACACTATAACACTTGTGTGTTTTACAGTATTGATGTTAGTCACAATCAGTATTAGTCATAATCGGTAAGGTCCTACTCTACATGAAAATCAAAAACAAAATACTACTCATTTATCGTCCTCATCAGTGAAAATGTCGCTGTCGGAGGTATACGGCTTTAAATCCTTAATATGCCAATTACCTATATCACGACCAGACTCGTCTAGTAAAGTATATACTAATTTCGAAAGTTTTTTCTTCACTTTACACAAAATATAACGCGGTGCTAGTTTTTGAGCAAAATCATTCGCTGCACTGGAGAGAACTTTATTTCTCTTCCACACGTAGTCACCGACGTAAAATGTCACATCCCGTTTTCTTAAGTTATAAGTATTGGCATTGCGCGCATATGCCGCCTTTAACTTTTCCTGAACCCCTTTATAAATTTCAGACAAACCCCCAAGTTCCTCAGAGTACTTTACGCGATCGGCTGTTTTAAAACCGTCACCTACAGATCCGCGATAATAGTCCCCCAAACATGGAACATGCCTGCCGAAATTTAAGAACGCAGGACTGTAACCCGTCACTTCGTGAACCGCCGTGCGCAACGCGTAGCCTATCTTAGAAATATTCAAATCCCATTCTTTGTGGTTCCCTTTTATATAGCTTCGAATCGCGGTGCCAATGGTGCGGTTACAACGCTCTACAAAGTTACAGTGACTGCTGTACCTAGGATTAAACCTAATTTTAACCCTATATCTCTCTGTGAGATTTTTAATTAAATCATTAGCAAAATGTGTGCCATTATCGCAAATTATATATTGAGGCACGCCATAAACTAGAAAAACTTCATTCTCTAAAAATTTACAAACATTAACAGCATTAGCCTTTCGCATAGGCTGCAATAAACTATATTTTGTAAACCAATCTGACACAACAAATAAATATTGAGATCCGCCCTTTGAACGTGGGAACGGTCCCATAAAATCCATGGCTATAACCTGCCAAGGAAAATTAACAGTTTTCGCAACCCCCATTAACCCCATTTGTCCGGTAGTTGGAGATTTCTGCGAGTTACACACTTTGCAAGCTTTAATATATCTGAAAATATCCGCCCTCATTTTAGGCCAATAGTACGAGTTACAGATCCTCTCTAAAGTCTTAGAATACCCTAAATGAGCGGCAGTGGGTTTGTCATGGTTGGACTCTAAAATTTGTCGACGTTGGGTTCTTGGCACCAATAATTTCCACTCGGGAATATTTGAACTTATTACAGAAGCTAATGGTACTAATTTATATACAAAATCATTCCTAACTGACCATTGAGGAAATTTATCTGGATCGTTTAAAATTTTATTCCGCATATTCACATAAAATTTATCAAGATTTTTGAGGTCAATGTCCAAACATATCTCTATCTCATCTAAATGTGCGCTGTGCTCTGAAGGAGCAGAATCAACTGGACTACGACTTAACGCGTCAGGTACAACATTATACTTCCCCTTACGGTGCACCAAATCAAAATCGAATTGCTGTAACCGGACACACCACCTAGCCAGTCTTCCCGCTGGATTTGTCAACCGATCTAACCATAAAAGTGAAGCGTGATCCGTAATTACTTTAAACTTTATGTTTGAACCTTCGACAAACCCCCTGAACTTTTCAATAGCAAATATTACGGCTAAACATTCCCGCTCGGTTACAGAATAGTTGCGCTCACTCTTATGCCGGTTTTACACCAAACCGACAAAACAGCAATTCGAGTTGAAAAAAAACAAAACCGCAACTTTTTGAAGATTTTTTGAAGATTTTTCGGCAACTCAACAGTTGCTGTTGTGTTTTTCGTTTCCCGATCGATGTCGGTAACTTCAAAGAGTTGCTGCGGTTTTTGCAACTCAGTCGGCTTGGTGTAAACGTCTGTTATCAACTTGAGTTGCGGCGAGCTGTGTTTTTGTCATGTTGACAGTCGCGGCAAGGTTATTTATCAAAAAAGAATAAGTATATAGTGTTAATTATTAAGAATAATAATAAGGCAGTGCAGTGTTTACGTTTTATGAACCTGGTAAGTAAAATAAAAATAATAATTTAGTAGATAGAGCAAAAATATACAAAAATACTACCTAAATAAAGATCAAGTAATAAGTATTGTAAAATAAAATTATAGGATATAAGTGATAAATGATTTTGACAAAATTTTTTTCATATCGCCATAAAATGCGATATGAAAAAATTAATATTAATATATTAAGTTTCGTAAATATTTCGTAAATATTGGTTATAAAAAGCATCTTCAGCACAAACTGTATTTTTTTAAAACGTGTTATTATTTAGATTTTAAATATTAGGTATAGAATGTCTTCTTAAAATTAAGTTAATTTTGGGACCCTACACTGAGAAAAATGGGACAAATAAACTGTGTAGCTAATACTTTTTATTTATAGTGAATATATTGTTTATTAACTCTAAATAGTCAAAATAATAACGATAAATATACTTTAGTAAAACTTTATGTGTCAGGAATAAAAATATATTTAGGATAAATAAACAATGCTTCTATCCCATATTTAAATATTCTGTTTATTGCCCAGCAATAAACTTTTTTCTCAGTGTATAGAGTTACAATATATATAGTAACTCTAGTCAAGTGCTTTTTTTGTAAATCTTTATTGGGTAAATAAACATATAATAATAACTATAAACTATAATAACTTATCATGGTTATGGAAATAAACGCAAACTTATCGTCTGCATCTGAATGATCAAGTTTTAACTTGTTAATCTGTCATTATAAAGCCCGGTCCAGACTATGTAACAAAACATGTTTTATAGCAAAGTTATATAACTTGTTAGAGAAAATGAAATAAAAAAGTTATAACGTTTTGTTACAAATCCTTACCCGGCTTTAAACAACGTTTTTTTTTAAGAAAATGCCGGATGAACGTAATAAGAAGCAGTGGACAACTGAAGAAGTGAGTAACCTAATTGAATCATATAGGGCACATACAAATTTATGGAATCCCAAGAACACAGAATACAAAAATCGTATTAAAAAAATGGATTCTTTAAAAGAAATTGCTAAACTTTTTAACACAAACTTTAACGAAGTTGAAAGAAAAATAAAAAACCTTATAACACAGTACCAGCGCGAAAGGCGAAATTATAAAAATATGAAAAAATCAGGAGCCGGTCAAATTTTTAAACCCAAATGGTTTGGGTATAATTCAATGTTATTTTTAAATGACAAAAACAAGCCGAGAAGAGGCGTCGAAGCTGGTGGAGACTATTATGATGCGGTAGGTATTTTTGTTGGTACTAGCAATTAATTAAGTTTAGTATACTGTAAAAAATAACTAAATAAGAAAACTAAATAATAACTATAGTAACTAAATAATAACGATAAGTAAATAAGTAAGTATATTAACTGACAAGTATATTAACTGACATATAATTTGAAATTAGGAGTATTTTAGTTGCCAGGGTACTTGACCTAACTCAGAAATAAAATATTCACTGTATTCATCCCTTATACACTTAGCTTCATGTAAAGATTTTCTTGGCACAAGCTTCAAAGGCAACATTGAATGGCACTGTTCAGGGTCATTTCTCCATAATCCAAGTCTAACTGTACCACAATCTAAATCTTCTATGTCGAACGTTCCTGGTGGCGTATACCTATTTCTTGATTGTGCATTTCTCCTCAAGTAGTTGTGAAGAAGAACACAAGTTTGCACAATTTTTTCTACTTTATTAGGCTCTAGCAATATAGGTTTTCGAAAAATTCGAAAAACAGATGCTAGGATACCAAACACGTTCTCAACTATTCTTCTGGCTCTGCTTAAACGATAGTTAAAAATTCGTTGCCTTGATCCCCGTTCTTGGTGACCAGAGTACGGTTTCATGATATTTGGTGATAATGGAAAAGCATCGTCTGCAACCAAAACGTATGGCACATGTTTGTCTCCACCAGGAAGTGGGGTGTTTTCTGGGAAGTTATGCTTTTGGCTTTCCAAGTATTTCGCAAACCCACAATGTTTGAAAACTCCCCCGTCAGATATACGCCCCTGGCATCCAATATAGGCATATATAAAATTGTAGTTTGCATCAACTACAGCAAATAGGACGATACTGAAAGTTCCTTTATAATTAAAGAACTCGCTGCCACTATACTTGGGAGATTGAATGACTACATGTTTTCCATCCATACTCCCCAAACACATTGGAAAATTCCAGATTTTATTATAGTCAGTGGCAATTTTCTTCCACTCTTCTGGTCTTGCAGGGATCTAAAAGAAAAGTTTTACGTTACAGTACATTTTGATCCATTTTACCATTAATTAGGCATAAAAGAAGTTGTATTAAAAAAATATACCTTTTTTAACTTATTCATTATTTTTAAACAATCTAGGTATCCGATTGAATGTTTCCCAATTTTAAAGATTTTAACAATAAAAAATACTAATTGCTTTTGTATTTTAGGATGATGATTCTTCTGATGAGGAAACTGGTGACTTAGAGCTCCAAATGGAGAGTAGTAATAGTTTAACAGAGGAACCTGACTCAGATCAAACAATGGCAGAGGGCAATAATACTCTTGGTACAGAGAATCAAGAAGAATTACCATCTACTTCAAAAAATAATAATAATAATTTTCCTGAAGTGGTAAAGGTATCCGTAAAAAAAAATAAAGTTATACCTCCAGCAGCAGAGAATAATTTACAACATCCTTTTGCTACTCCCAAAGTATCGCATCAAAAAAAGAAATTGAAAACAGGCAATGATACAAGTGAAAGTCAAAGTAGCGAAATTTTTGAAATGATGAAGTCCATGTATAAAAAGAAGGATGAGACAGCAAAGCGTGATGAATTTGACGTATTTGGTGAAATGGTAGCACATAACTTACGGAACCTAAAATCAGAATATTCCAAAATATCTTTACAACAGCGTATTACCAGCCTATTATATGAGGCACGAATTTCATGCAATTTTCCACAAAATTCAATGCAATATTTTACTACACCATTGCCTTCACCGTCTCCTCCTTCCCCATATGCACGTACATCGTCATCAGCTTCAAGCTACGGATCAGTTCTACAAAGTCACCAGCAATATCAAACTGTTAACCCTACAAGTTATAATAATAACATGGAGAATCCGACTATTTTGGAAAGTCAGCCACAATATCAAACTCTTAGCCCTACAAGTTTTAATGATGATTTGGAGAATACAAGTATTTTGGAAAGGGCTTTTACTTCAGCTATAAATGATAACAGTCAAAACAAACAATAATTAAGGCATCATTTCAACAAATCAATAATAAGGAGTTAGCTAGAATATATTTTTCTTTTATAATATTTTTTATTATCTTTTCTTTTTGTACCTTTTTGTGGTATTGATATTAATAAACAAAATTCTGTTGTTATAAATTTTTCTTTAAGGTAAAATCGGGGTATCTTTAGTTATTTAGGTATCTTTTTTTTAGTTCATGCAATTTTTTAGTAAATTATATACGTATAATAATTATTTACTTACCTTTACATAATCACGGAGAACTTCACACAATGCATCGCATACTTCTGGAATAATTCCTGAGATTGCAGCAGTTGATATTTTGCATAAATACATTAGGCTTTGATAACTATCGCCAGTAGCAAGAAATCTGAGTGTTACTGCTAATCGATCTTTTATAGATATAGCATCTCTGTAGTTTGTGTTTTTTCTCCCCACTTTTATACCAATTAAATTTATCAACTCTTCAAACTCGTGGCTTGACATTCTCAAAAAGTTGTGAAAAGAAGAACGTAATTCGCCACTTAACCCTATGTCGTCCTTTTGTAAATCCATTAACATCTTTGCACCACCATCATATTTCCTTCTATTTAATAAGGATCTCACCCAATACCTGCGTGTACGACGTTTTCTTTTTTTTTCTAAATCACGCACCAACAGCCAACCGCACACGAGAAAAAAAAAGCGTTCCTCGTCACTATCCATGTTATTTTTTTTTAAATAAATAATATAAAATAATGAACAACCATCTACTTTCTGAATAGAACTAAACAAAACTGCAACTGTTTGTTTCTCTGATGTAAAACGACAAAAAACAAAAACTCGACATCAACTAATTTTTGTCTGTTTAGTGTGAACAGTTTTATCGTTAAAAACAGTTGGGTTTTTGTTTTTTAAAACAGCAACAAAACAGCAACTCAACTAGTCGGTTTGGTGTAAAACCGGCATTAGAGAGAGATCTTGAAGCGTAAGCAATCACCTTCTCTTGATTATCTATTGTTTGAGTCAAGACGCCGGAAATGCCAACATCTGACGCATCAGTTTGTATTATAAATTGCTTCGAAAAATCTGGACTGGAAAGAATTGGTGCTGAAACCAAAGCCTGTTTGATGTCATTAAATGCGGCCTCCGCTGGGTCATTCCACACTATTTTTTGTCCTTTGGCCTTGCCTTTAAGTAAATCATTAATAGGTGACATTAAAGTGGAAAAGTGCGGAATAAACCTGCGGTACCAGGAGCACATTCCAACAAACCTTTTTATCTCAGTACTTGTTTTAGGTTGAGGGAAATTAATCATTGCTGAAACCTTATCAGGATTTGTTCGCAGTCCAGATTTATCAACTATATAACCAAGATAATTTAAAGATGGCTTAAAAAATTGACATTTTTTTATGTTTACAGTTAAATTCGCTTCAGATAATCTACGGAAAACTTCTTTTAAGAGAGAGATATGCTGGTCAAATGACTTCGAGGTTATTACTATATCATCCAGATAAACAAAAACATATGGTTCCAGTTCTGGGCCTAGAACCGCGTCCATAAGGCGTTGTTGCGCCTGCGCCGCATTTGACAACCCAAAAGCCAACACGTTAAAACAATATAAACCCCTTCCGGGTACTGCGAAGGCTGTCTTTTCTCTCGAGGCTTCGTCCAGAGGAATTTGCCAAAAAGCAGATTTTAAATCTATGCTCGATAGATACTGAGAGTCGCACAAAGTGTTTAATATCCTATCTACAAAAGGAAGAGGATATGAGTCCTTTTTAGTCAAGGAATTGAGCTTACGCCCGTCAAAACAAAACCTATATTCGCCGTTTGCTTTTTTGACTAGCAAAACGGGTGACGACCATGGGCTCTCACAAGGCTCAACTACCTTGAGTTCCACCATCTTATCTAATTCTTTATTAAGATGTGATAACATGTATGGTGACATATTATATTGTCGTTGTTTGACAGGTTGTGCGTCCCCCGTATCTATATGGTAAACTAATTTATTTGTCCTCGATAACTTGTCTGTAGGGCTTATACTGGCAAAATCCTTAATGGTAAGCTGAATCTGGTTTAATTGATCTTTAGTAAATTCCTCTCGAGATTGCAAGACATCGTCTAATTCAGTATTACTGACCTCAATTGTAGCTATATTGACATTATTGACTTGAGCCTCCCACGTATTATTGCAAAAATTTAGTTTTACTTTAAAAACATTACAAAAATCACTTCCTAGTAATACACTATGTTGCAGTGTAGGAACAACCAAAACTTTAAGCAGTTTACAATTGTTATCAACCGTTATAGGTAAATTGACAAATCCGTCAACCTTTTGACGCTTACCATCTGCAGTTGTAACAATATTAATATTTGAAGGAAAAATGTTTAGACTAAACCGCCCAATCAGCTGCATCCCAGCCTGACCTATTATTGTAGAAGTACTGCCAGAATCTAACAAACACGTCAAAGACTTATCAAATATTTTGATAGAGACATAAGGCCGGTTATCACCAGTTTTATTTTCAACTATAGCGTCTAAATTATTTTTTATGGAATAAAAAGATTTAACCCTACCTAACCACAATTCCCAATCTTTCACATTAAAAAAATCTGATGTTTTTGATTTTTTAAAAATTATTTTATGTTGAAAATTAGACATACAAGATGTTACTTTGTCTGTCTTCTCTCCCCGTTTTTTGAACAGGTGGGACAATTAATTTTAGTCACATCAGGTGTACCACAAGAAAAACAAAATTTGGACCTCTTAAGGGTACAATTATTAAATGTATGGTTTGGTTGTTTACAATTAAAGCATATTACTTGCCTGTTACTAGTACTAACTGCTGAAATATTGGGTTTCTGGTAGGTGGGTCTAAACTTACTTTGATAATTATTAGTTGCAAATCGGGATTTATTGTTATTAAAAGAACTACTGGGTGATTTATCTACGTATTTTAATTCTGATTCTAAACTTTCAACGCTTCTGTCTCTATCAAAGGATTGCTTGGCAGCATCTTCAAGTTTTCTACAATAAGCACACAAACTAGTTACGCTGGGAGTATCCACCAAGACAAGCTGATTAAAATAACTAGGTAATAAATTTCTACGCAAATATTTGATTTTCGTAACTTCTGCTGGTTCTTTACTTAATCTACTAAAAAGAGTCTCCATTACTGCGAAAAAAATAGCTACTGTCTCATTCTTTCCCTGACGTCTCGCCTTAATTTGCTCCCAAACAACTTCATCATAGTCTTCCGACACAAAATTTTGCTTAAGTAGTTTAACCAAAGAATCTTGTATCATATGTTTATTAGTTCTTACAAAAAGCCATGCCTTGCCTGAAAATAGGTCTATCGTTGAACTTAACAACTGTTCTTTAGTTACACCCCTCGCTTCAGCCATCTCCCCCACCCTTTCAATAAAAGGAATTAAACCCATCTCATCGGTTTCACCACTAAATTTTAAATTCCACTTATCTATACGTGGTAGTTTATAGTTTACCAATGGTGTACCTGGTGATGCTATACTATTATTAAAGATTTGGGTGCTGGATGAAGGAGGCGGTGATACCACAATATCATCTTCAACGATTTTATCGTTAAGTTCTGCCTCTAAATGCAGGCAAGTTGCATAAGCTTCGTTTTTATAATCAATTAAAGGCTTATTTGCCTCTTCCCTGGCATCAACAGGAATGATCAATCTCCGAACTCTTTGGGTAACGTGATTAAGCCTAGATGACACAACTGAATATAATGAATCTGTTGTTCTGCCTTCGAAATTTGACACTAATTCTGTAATAGAACTTAAGGTTTTATTAATAGCTATTTTTTCGGTCTCAAAATCTAATGTACCTAAGGCAAGAGCAGTTGGAGAATCTTTCTCTTTCCTAAGCAACCTAGCTAGAATCTTACGTTTTTCGTCATGGCTTCTACTGGTAACAGTATCTCTGATTTTTAGTTCATAATCTAACTCTTCAACTCGAAGGTGTTTAGCAATAATCTTTGACTCCATTATAAAAAATTTAAAAAACTAAATATCAATATAGCGACAATCAGGTCTAAGAAACAACGGATTTATTATGTTAAAAAAATATTTATAAAAATTTAAAATTCTAAATGACCCCCTAAAATTTTTTGACCAGTACGGATCTGATCCACGCTAAGTCCGCATGCGCACTAAATCAAAATTATAAGGTAAGTTAAACACACATGAGCAAAACCATAGCTCAAGATCATAAACGAAATAAAGTACTAATGTAAGTATATCTATACTTAAATTTATAAATCAAAAAAATATAATAAAATATCCCAAAAAAAATACTCATTGCCTACTTGGCATATCAAAATTAAAATATTACTTAAATTGGTTCACACTGTATATTGCAAGTTTTTTTGTGATTCCGACGCTAGTAGGCTTTGTAAAGTTCGAATACCCATGTATTTATAATGTATAATATTGAAAATAATAAAAGCGTTATGATAGTTTTGTCATTTAAAAAAACGAGTAAATTATGAAAATTTTTACACAAGTTAAATTTGACTTTTTTCTTAAAAAATAAAAATTTAAATCCAAAATGCAAACATGAGAAATCGATGTTGGGCGCCAAATTTATATAACCAACTTGGGGCTGGCTAAATGCTCCGGCAGCTCACTCGTCTGGAGGCAAAGGTCAATGGTTCGTTGATTTCTCATACTTACACTTTGGGTAGGCGCCACCGTGAATGACAGAGTAAATTAACTAATGTTCACGGTCATTAAGTTAAACTCAATATTTTGTTACTCACTCATATATTTTATCAATAAAATTTTATTCTATATGTTATATAGTTTAGGTTTCATACCCATAGCTATGGTTTACACAATGATCAAGTTAAAAAAAATAGTGATATGTTTAAAATTTAAATAAATTATACAATGACGGAAACTATCAATAAAGTTTCATAACTTACTCCTACGCTTATTGTTAAATGTTCATAATATGTTTAATGACAAAAATAAAGATAAAGTTCAATAAA